TTCACTTGCCCAAGGGAAACATTGCCTTCATCTGCCATTCTTTCCTTTTCAATTTCAGATGGGTAAGGATTGTCAAGATTTCTTTCAAACCAATGTGTCATGATTTCGATGGCTCCCGCGTTTAACTGTCGGCTTTTTGGTTTTGATGAGGACACCATGCTTCCAGACGGCATAGCTTCTTTAAGTAAATCCAGACTTGATGATACACGACTTGTCAAATGCATTCTTTGACGATCATGGAATGTGTGCACTTCGAATAATTCCGTCTGATATTGAGTTTCATCCTGAAATATCTGTCCTTTAAGTTTAGCAATTGCATCACATCTTTGGGTTTCTATCTCGGCACATTGTGTACTATAAAAATTCTGTAGTTCGTGAACTTTAGGATTATCTGGAGACAATGTTTGAAACTGAGACTGGAGATGAGCTTCCTGCACCGCAGCAAAAGACGGATCAACAATAGGTTCCGCGTCACTTCCTCCGCTGATGCTCTGGTCAGAACATAATGTGTACGGCACAGAGGCTTGGAAACATTCAGTGACTAATGTAGCCTGCAGATCTTGAAACATTGGATGAGCAGACAGTTTGTAAAGTCCTTCATTAGTCTCTTCTTGTGATTTGTCAGACTGTATCAAGGATGCCATTATTGTCACTCAGTAAATTCTGGATATCAAACTTCTGCTCTGGAATTACTTTTCACAAATAAGAAATGATAAACCTCACAAACAGTGCTCAGTTATACATATTCTAACTTCTATTCACAGAAAAATTCAACCAATCAGAACAAGTTTTGAGTCAATCAGAAAACTCCTTCTCCTACTCACTAATTAATGACTTGTCAAATTTGTAGATCACAACCCAATAAACAAACAATTAGTAAAAAATAATAACAATTTTGTTTTCAATTGTCCGAACAAATATATCATGACTGCAACTTGATTGGATGACAATGATCAGTGCTAGGGAAAATTAAGGTGTGAACATTCCCAGCCCTGAGATACAGGTGAACTGTTTTCATTCAGCTGACAGCCTTGGCAGACAATCTGACAAACTGATTTGATTTGTAAATGATACCAATAGTTTTATATTATGATTTAATTAACAGTTTTTATTTACTTGTCTCCAAAATGTCTTCAGTCATGGGAAAATTTATAAAGTTATTACGAAAAGTCATAAATTGCTGCATAGTTAGTAAGGCATGTTTTTTTTTATTAAGAATTCAAATATAGTTGCTGTTAATTAATAAAAGATAATTCTTAAATCTTACTCTCAAAGTTTATAATTCATTAAATTAAAAATTATCAATTAAAGTTTTATCAAAATCCCCCTTTTTCAAAAACAAGATTTTTTCAAATACTTTCAATTTTTTAGCTAAAGAAAACATCTATTTTCTATTTCAAATTTGTAAACTCAAAAGTTGCATATCTGTTTAAAATAATGCTAAAAGAGAAGCAGGTATTTAATTAAGATATAAATATCATATATATAAAAAAAAAATTAAGGGTTCAAAAATTAACAACTTAATTAGACAAAAAACATTTTTCAATAGATGTAAATTAAACAAAAATTTTTTAAACCTGAACAAAAATTAGGATGTTTTTAAAGAAAAAAAAAGAAGCAAAAATCACCTTAAAAATTCTAGTTTTCTATACATTTTGTAAAGCTTAAAAAATAAATGGACACCATCAAGACATATCTTTTGTTTAGATTATCAAATCATTAATCAATTTTTCTAAAGGAGATGACATATTAAAAATAACTTGTAAGAAAGAGTTACTGGACATTTTTCATAAAAAATCATGTTTAAAATAATTTTTTTTTATACAGGAAATAGTGACAAGGAATGGCAAAATTAAAATATAGATAGATCTTGACCTGTTTACTGTTTTTAACCCATCAGTTTTGTTCTAACTGTTTTATTTAGGCCAAAAACTCCAGTTTTACTCTATGTTTTATTTTGAACAACAAGGGTCATGTTTGTTGATGAATCTCTGATAATATTTTTAAACATATACCAAAGAACATTCGCACAAAGCTTTGTTTAAAATCCTTTATGATATTTCAGAGGAAAATAGTTTTGAAAACGGTTCTGTGGATGATAGATGACAAGTGATACTAATAGCTCATGTGGAACTAATGATCCAGGTGAGTTAAAAATGTCAAATTCCTGAAACATGACTAAGGGGGCATAACTCAGAATTCTCAAGTGCTAGATGATTCTGCACCAGTTTACCATATTAAATATCATAGCAGTGGTATATCACAATTATTTTAATTTTTCATTACCATACAAAAAGAACATCAAATTGCCATTAGAGCATGACCCACGAAGTGGAGCTTGAGTATATGCTTGATGGATGTGAAAGTGTCATTGTAAGCTATGGCATATCAATTCTGTTGAAATTTTATAAATTTAAGTCTAAGTGATCTTTCCACTATCATACTAAGCATTCCAGTAAACCATGAAGCAACAGTGTAACATAAAAACATCTGCAAAACCTTCAAACTCACCAAATATCATTGATTTCCAGCTCTACTTAAAATTCTGCAGCACATGCACTTTGTTGTGTTCAGGAAATTTATTTACTGTTTAATTAGGACCATATTAACCAACATTATATAACATTATATTGACGAAAGAGTAGGAGAGAAGAGAAATAAGAGGAAAAAAAACCCAAACAATTTCCTGTACACAAGAAAACCTTTTTTCAAATAAAACATCTGTTTTGTCCAGTTACAATAAAATGCTGCTGCTTCCTGTGGATTTATTTATTTTCGTGGGTACCAAATTAAGTGGATTGAGGAAAACTTCAATTTTTGTGGGTGTTTGATTTCATGGTTTTGCCAAAGTCTGCATATATAAGCCTATCAAAAATGTGCAATTAGTTGAATATTTAAACTCCTGGTACATCTGTACCCATGAAAATTGGTATTCCACAAAAAATAATAAATCCGCAGTATTACACGGGCAGCCATTTAAAGTTATATTACATTCAGATAGAGTTTAATTATTTAGACAGAGATAGCTCATGCTTCAGTAATTCCTAGGCATTTTTTTTTACAAATTCAGGACTAGACAAATGTGGCACCTAACAAGATCACAAGTTTTTTTTGTTATTGTTTACATTAACAAACAAATGGTTCTATCTAGTTCTACTCCTTGAAAGACGGACAAAGTTAAGTGATGACATGACAGAATGACTTCAATGACACAAAGGACAAAGTGAAGTGATGACATGACAGAATGATTTCAATGTCACAAAGGACAAAATGAAGCGAGGGCATGACAGAATGACTTCAATGACACATCAGACAAAGTGAAGTGAGGACATGACAGAATGATTTCAATGACACAAAGTACAAAGTGAAGTGAGGTCTTGCCAGAATGACTTCAATGACACATAGGACAAAGTGAAGTGAGGACATGACAGAATGATTTCAATGACACAAAGGACAAAGTGAAGCAAGGACATGCCAGAATGACTTCAATGACACAAAATACAAAGTGAAGTGAGGACATGACAGAATGACACAAAGGTCAAAGTAAAGTGAGGACATGACAGAATGACACAAAGGACATAGTGAAGCGAGGACATGACAGAATGATTTCGATGACACAAAGGACAAAGTGAAATGAGGCCATGACAGAATGACTTCAATGACACAAAGTACAAAGTGAAGTGAGGACATGACAGAATGACACATTTTCAAAGTGAAGCGAGGACATGACAGAATGACTTCAATGACACAAAATACAAAGTGAAGTGAGGACATGACAGAATGACACAAAGGTCAATGTGAAGTGAGGACATGACACAATGACACAAAGGACAAAGTGAATAAACATAAGGGACATTTTTGGACTACCATTACTTTTTGCAAGCTATTATTCTATTCAGTGTAGTTTTCAAAATATTATATAATCTTACACTTGCCTTTTATCTATTTTTAAATGAATGAATTAATTATCAATGAAGATTCCATGTTTCAAAAGGCAATTTTGACAGAAAGTTGAATGAAAAGTATTATTCTAAGGATTGTACACCAGGATATATGTGTAGGTTTTCCTTCTGTTGCAAATGAGTTATGAATTTTCATCTCTCAAGATTGTTTAATTTTTGATTTTCAATTCATACTTATAATATATAAACTATCGAAAGGTAAAAAAATATTGTAACTCATAGGAAACAAAGGGAGATAACTATTTGCCTGTATATTATTCAGTCTTCCTTGTGTAAAACCCCATGATCAGATAGGATATCAATGGCACTATTGCCAATTAAGCTACAAATAACAGGACATTGTGATAAATTTTCCACCAATCACAGGACTAGAAATTGCAAGCTTACTGCATGAGACATATGTGGTTTCAAACATTTTTAACACCCCTGCCTGAACACTGTATAAAACCATCCACCAATTAGAGACATATAGATTCTACCATGCCACCCGGTTGATTAAGTTATTTATTAACTCAAAGATAGTTTAATTCTAAAACTTTAAACGGACGGACAGACGGACGGACAGACTGATCACTATAGGGTGTCTGCCATTTGGCGGGGTCCTAATTATCATTCTTTTTCAATTATCTGCAAAAAGATGTGTTCTTTTTATGTGATATCATCAGGCATGGTCATCTTTTTTTATGTCGTCATAATAGGAAATTCAAGAAAAGCAAGAAAGTTTGAGGTCATAATTGAATTCTTACCAATGAAGAAATGAGATTAAACTTACCACAAGTTGATAAAAAAAATCATAATCGACCAGTCGGGGAAAGTATAAATTGGCTAAGAATTAGGGAAAATAGTATAATTTAGGATTCAGGTAGGGTATACAGTCTGACATATCAAATCCAAAATCTGAATATTACAATTCAACTTTTTCTGCAATAATTTCTCTGTTTCTGGCCTTTTAAAATACAAAGCAAGCAGTTGGTTTTACCAAAATGTTTTCTGTTATTGATGGCTTTCATTTATTAACTTGAAAAATAAGAAACTTACCTGAGATGTGACTGAGTATTTAACAAAATGTTGCAGTAAATATTTATCATGGTAAGCTAAAACATTCTCTATCATTCCCAGTATGTTGATTGGTGGATTAGGGAAGTATTCAAACCAATGATCTGCCCAGTTCACTGTAGTAAAAATAAATATATTTCAACATTTAAAAAACAAACAGCGGGTAATCTATTTTATGTTTTAATCTTTAAAGATAAAATTTTCCTGACAAAAAAAATCAAAGGCCTGATAACAATAAATTTGAAAATGAACCAACTTGTCGCTAAGTGTAATATAAATGTTATTCTGAAGCCTAAATTCAACCTTTAATATCTATCATGATACATGTTTAAATAAACACTAATTAAAATAGCATTAAAAAGTAAACACTTTTTGAATTCCTAAATTATTGTTCAGCAAAAAATGAAATAAATCCTAAAACGTAAGTGTGGAAGCTTAAAAAAACAAGCATTATAAAGTTTTGCAATATTTTAAAAAATATTTTCAATGACTGCAAAGCAAATTAACTTTACAGATGGTATGATTGACTATGTAATTTTTACTTACTCATGATGGATGACAAGATTTCAAAACACACTAAATGATTGTTCTGGAATAACTTAACAAATGGAAAAGCTAAACATGGAAGATATTGTGTCTCTCCAAATATAGGTGACCAATGTGCCATGGCTGATAAAATTCTGAAAAATAAAACCACAAATATATTAGAAATACATGTATATCACATTTTAAAAAGATTGGAGAATATATGGGCTCAAGCACAATTCTATTGCCTTTAGAATTATCACAATTTCGAGATACTTTATGTTTTATGGCTTCAAAGAGAATTCTATTGCAAACCAAAAAAAAAAAATAAAAATTTCAGGTTTTCTAGAAATAAAGTTGTTCTTCACTGTCTTGAAAACAATTATTGAAAATAAATAGAATTGTTTTTTTTTTATAAATTACCACTTATTACAGGTATACAGAAAACTAACTAAAAGCAATAATCCAAACATGAAAACCTACCTTTGTAAAATGCGTAGAAGTCTTCTACTTTTAATTGGATATTCTTCATGTATTTTAGCATAAGCAGGATGTGTTCCTTTGTCAACTAATGCTGCATATGCTGTGTGATTTTCTGGTAATCTTAAAATAGATCTCCATATAAACATTCTATATTTAGCTGGGTATTCCCCATATCCCTTTAGAATGGCTTTTAATTTTTCCATATTGAGTTGTTCTGGAAGTTCTTTCTGAAAAGAAATACAATGTTGGAGTAAATTATAGGTGAATCATGAATAAAAACAATACCAAAATTCTAAATGGAAAGACAATTTGCATAAAAAATATTAACATTGAAAATTGGTCGTAGGAGGCAGGGCTTTGAAATAATCGTCAAACTGATATGTACTGATAGTGAACTGTAAAAGTGATGCCACCCAAATTCAAACTTGAACTGTGTTTTATGGAAATAAGCATTATGTATAAGTATCATAACATTTGGTTGAGGCAAACTAAAGTTAGAGAAAGGAAAAACAAATATTCAGCAATTTTTCCATATATAAAGGGGCATAACTCCAGAACGGTAAATGTTACACCACCTATTAAAATTCGAACTTGATCTGTGTTCTGAGATAATAAGCATTGTGTATAAAGTTAGTGAACGGAAACTAATTTTGGGACGTATGTCAGGCGAGGGTAACACTTAATACCCCTTCCGCTGCAGCAGGGGCATAAAAAATGATTTAATTTTTATACTTACTTCCATTTGAAAATCTGGTTGATTTCGCCTGTTTTCTTTGCCTTTTGCCCTTGCCCCTTTCTGTTTCTGTGATTTTGAAGACTGATCTGACGCAACTGTATCTGACATTTTGTTTTCTTTAACTACCTTGACCAAAGGAGCAGGTGGCTAAAATGTCAATAAAATGGGTAATTGTAACAGCTATTAATAAACATCTAAATCCAATACAGAAACTGTTGCTAATATATTTCAGCTTTTACACACGTGCACACACTATATATAATTACAGTTAATTTATATTTTACATATTCACTTGTTTTTTTTCATTGCTAAAGCATATCCCATTGTGGCATTGTTACAAATTTTCAAATTTTACGAAAACCATTGAACCTTTTGAAGCATATGTGTCGTGAATATAGGCCAAGAGACTTTAGTACGTTATGTTATGTAATTGTTTCCCGTACTTTCGCGCACACTTTTGTAATGTAACGTAACGCTATTGTTACGTATCTATTTATCTTACGATCATAAAGCATCTCAACTAGCAAGATGTTATTTTCTTCCACAAGTATTACAAAGTTAATAACCCTTAAGATAATATGCAACCATAGCTACCAGGTAAACAACAAATAAATCTATCAAAAATAACTCAATACTAATGTTTATTTATCATAATTTTTATATTAAGATTTTAGATTTTATAAATGTTATTTTTTGTAAATATAAGAACTGAATGCAGATTTTAAATGTTTAAAATAAGATGATGTAAAAATCACCCATAGCCAGAATTAAAGAATGATTAAATTTTTAACTTAACGCTTACCATGCTGAATTGTTTTCAGAAAATGTCTAATTTTTGTTTATTTGCAAAAATATGCAAATTACATACAAATGAGCTTTACCCTGCTGCTGATGCATATTGATTCCTTTAAATCGAAGATAGGGGATCAACGGGGTGGGTTGATCAGGGTAAGGAGGCCGGGTGAGTGGGCAGGAATTTGCCCCAAAGTTGGTCATCAGGTGCAAAAAGCATCAATTTTGACGATTTTTCGTCCTATTTCTTGACCAGGAAGACTGAGGGATGCTGATAGATGTATCTGACTGTAGTCTGCATGTAGAGTGGACCCCAGTGAACACATTAATCACAACAAAGCTTAGGTTGGAGTCAAACTGATTTTGGTACAGCAGTCTAAAGAAGGTCATTTGCACCAAAAATCTGGAAATTCTTGATTTTTCCCAATTTTTGGCTTCAACTGGACCTGCAACCTGAAGTAGTTGTTCACTTAGTGGATTTCAATAATAAACACAATCAGTAGTTATATTCCCACGTGTTTACACTATTTTTTAAAGATTTAGGCCTCTGATACCGAAGGGAAGCCCACCCCTCCAGAAAAAACAAGTTTTATTCGATTTCAATTTTCCAAATTTGTATTTGAACTGAAAATGCACCTTAAACATGAGAAACATGACAATAAATAGCCTCAGGTTGAAAGAACATGCATCAACTTCGAAATTAATGTCATAAAGCTGACCTCTTAAAGTATGGAGAGCCATTGGAGCCAAATAAGGGTAGTTTGGGTAATCCCGTCATATGACGGTCACCGCATGGTAAGGGTTAAATCAGGGAAGAAAAGTTGAAATTAGCAGCCAAATAAAAAGGATTAAAATAAACAAGAACTATGAGAATGATTTATTTTGATACCTGATTATTAAACATTTATGCAAGATGTCTTTATTTTAGGGTTATTGGTTTGCTGCCTAATTAGCATACATCACGAATTTCCATATCTTAACATATATATTACCTTTCCTATTTCATCTGAGACTACATGTAGATCATAGACATGGATACTGCCATCTTCCATTGTAGAAACCATGTGACGTCCTGATGGGCTGATAGAGAAGTTGTTGACCTTGTTATCAATGGTGCCAACATCAAATAGTAGTTTACATGAATTAATGTTTATATATCTCACTATTCCATCCTGACTTAAAACACCAAGGGTCTGTAAGTATAAAGAAAGAGACAACATAGGTATACTGATTATCAAAATTCTTAACTCTATTTGTAATATACAAACCAAGAGAAAAACCTATAGGATTCAATGAACTTCAATTGTGTCGACAGGGTAAGTGTCTTCTGCTATGTATGCTCAATGACCATGGGAATCCACACTTGGTACAAAATTTCACAATATGGAAAAGGACACAATTCATAATTCTAATTCAATTCGTTTGGAACGATAATTTTCATTGGACGTTGACAAATATTTTGAAGGGATAGATTCCACGTTCTACCAGTCTGTAACTAAGAATGCCACCATTTTGAATTTCGATTTTTTTGGGGTATGTAATTTCTCAAAACATAAACAAAAAAAGTCACATTTTGTCCCTCTAAATCTTCTTTTTGTCAATATCTTAACCATTCAGAGGCGTACAAAAAGTATAAATATGTCTTGTGTTTATGTTTGACATCGAGTGTATACCTATGACATCACATTGTTTAGATGCCAAAGACAACGTAACAGTTTCGCGGACTTTTCATTTATGGCATTTTTAAGCCAAAATAATTACTAAAATGGTATTCATGAATTCATTTTAATATTTGGCATTAGAATGGAGATAACTGTATTGTATTTCAAGCTTGGCCTTCATAAAATCTACGTTTTACGAAGGCCAAGCTTAAAATAAAATACAGTTATCTCCTAAATGTCATATCAGACAACTACTCCCCAAAGACCACATAAACATGTACATGAGACACAGACACATTATATCGGTAGCTGATTCAAGATGGTGACCATAAAACTCTTGAAGTGTTGCTTTTTGTTGTACTTCCTCATGACCCTGCTTGAGGAGCTTTTGTGTTAAAAAGTGTGTTTTTATTAATTTTTCAATGACATGTTTGATCTATCTGTAGATGTTACAGATACTGGGAAAAAACCAAGACCTAAGATTTATATATATATACACCAGTTTTATGCAAAACACTAGGATGAGTTAATATTTGTTCAATATGCTATGAAAACAATAGCAAAAAGTGGTTTTATGTCCATCTTTTAATGTATTGGTTATATATTGAAATTTATGGTAATATTAGAAAATAGTCAAAATGTTAAATATCACTAAAATATGCAAAAGAGATACATATGTCGATTTTCTAATTTTCTAAATGGTACTAATTCTTGCTAAGAAAATTCACATTTCTAGAACAGGTACATCTGTCACCTTTCATGTTTCTTGCAAGTTTAACCAATTATTACCTGATTTTGTCCTGCATCAAATTTGTCAGGAAGAAAGTTGAGTTGTTTAACTGATGTGACTTTAGTAGGCAATTCTACAATACGCAACAATCTGTGTGTATCAAGATCCCACAGGTGAATAAATCTAGATCTACCTCCTGCTGCTAAAACCCTGCCATCTCTGAAAATAAATATGTAAATATGAAGATCCATGTTTGGCTTAATATGATAAAATTTTAATAAAAATTCAATGCATGCCTTTTAAATGTGCTTGTCCTACTACATGTATATTTTCAAGTCCTGCATATTATCTTTATCTATTTCGACTTGCCTGATCATATATTATGTGTTTTCCAACTTCCCCTACAGCCGTCTCATTCTCATCATCAATACTAAACTTCTCTGGTTCATCATTCAAACTGCTATTTTATGGTTCCTGATTTATGTTTACAGTTAATGCATCAAGAGATCCTTTGGTGGTATTTATTTGTCTATGACCAAAGGTATAGTTAACTGGTATTTAGTGCACAGTTATTTACTTTAAGCAGTGATATGGGTTACTAGTATCTAGTATATAGAAAAGCTTCTGTATTTTTTAACTTTTAAAGGAAGTATGAGTAATTTGTATTAACAGTTATTTCATAGTAGCCAAACTCATGTAAATTATTTTTCGCCTATGACATGGGATGACATGACATGAGATATAGGTAACTTGTATTTACTATTTAGCAGTCAGGGGCATTACTTAAACAAGTAACTTTTAAAATTACCTTTACAAGTAAGGTTGAAAACGAGGCTATATCAAATATTACTTATATAAGTAACTTTTCTAAATATTATTTTTATAGGTGTCCATTAATACAGATTTTACTAGCTTTAACAAATTTTCACAGTCTTCTGGTTATTTTTCCCATGAAATATAAAAAGGAATCCTCCTGAAACACTAATTGCCTTTCTGACGAACTCACTTATCTTTCATACTGATGCTTCTTGGTCAAATATTGGTCTCATGGGACTATTAAAATATCATTTTCCTTGAAAATCTTGAAGGTAGACAGATGTAAATAGATAGAAACTTGTGATTTAATTAAGACTTAAAGTTATTTATAATTTGTAACCCAAAACAATTACATATGTTCCTTAAATAATTGTTATTACTAATTCTTTCAAAGATGTATAAAATAACTTATTCAAGTAAAATTTTTGTCATTAATTTTAAAGTAACCTTTTATCTCTATACTTTTCTCAAATTTAATAGATTCTTAGTTTTATGTAATAAAATGATGTAAAAACTCATGAAAACTACATTTAGTCCATGCCTCTATTGAAATATAAAATAACTCTATTGAGTAATTTAATAATTTCCAAAAACACATATTACCTATATAAGTAACTAAAAAAAATACTTGTTTAAGTAATGCCCCTGACTGTTTAGTTATCTACTTAGTAGCATAAAAATTAGTATCAGCCGATTCCAACGAGTGTGTAGCTAAAGGTAGAATCTTTGGTTAGCTTCCTTGCTAGCTCAACCATGAAATCATTATTAGGTAAGGTACATCCAGCCTTTGGGTGTCAATAGTTAAGCGGAGAACCAATCAGAATTAAGTGACAGAATATAAACATTGCAAAACTAGTTTTACAAGTCAGTTTAAAAATAAGTTTTCAATCTAAATTTAAAATTTAATGATAATTATAAGCTCATTCACAAGCATGTTGTAGGTGTGTTTGATTTGCCAATTTTATTTTGATAAATGGTGAAAAGTTAACTGAAAGCTGAAATTCCTAAAATGTTTTCTTCTTCGTCAGACATTACAAATAATAATATATTTTACCTGTCTGTTGAATTTGTTACATCAAGTTAATAAAATGTAGTTGGATATGATTGACAAGTGCTGACCGTATTCACTTTTACACATACACATATGTTTACAATACACCCGGACAGGTAAAAAAGATTGGAAGGAGTTCAAAAGTACATATGACCTGATCATTCAATCTAGGTCAGATTAAATCTAAGTAGAGACATAAAAATTGGTCTTCATGGCTGCATTATTTATCTAAAACTAATTAGTAAGGTAATGTTAACAAACCAAGTGGATGTCCATAAACTCTGCAATATTTTCAATTCTAAACTGCAGTTGTTTGTTGGGTTTTTTTTCGTTGCATTTTTAACTATATATAAGTACTACAACCGTGCATGATATTAAGTAGTATGATAATTTTTCTTTTCTGTGTGAATATAAAAGATTTTAGTTCTAAAAAATATGCATATAATTATAAAGAAAATACATAACAATGTTTTATGCGTGGGGATAACACCAAAAGACATTAGTTAACCAAACTGCCTATTCACGGCGTAAATATTTAAAAAAAACGTCACTCCGCTTCTGATTTATTGTAATAAAAAGATTTTTTAATTCAATCAATAACTAAGAAATGAAATTTCATTTGCAAAGTAGTCTAGGTAAACCTTTGTATGAAACATACATATATTATAAATAATAAACAGGCCATTGATACAAATGTTTTCATTGGATGATAAAATAGCACTTTGCTCCTCCCAATTTTAAGGTAATAATCATTTCATGGTTGAGCTAGCTAGGAAGCTAACCTAAGATTCTACCTTTAGCTACACACTCGTTGGAATTGCCTGTAAATTGTTTTTCCCAGGAGATATTGGCATTTGGTATTTACTGCACAGCTAATTACTTTTAATCAACAAAACTTAAGTAGCTACAAGGTTTCCAAAAATAGGTATTGGTATATGATATATACTGGACAGTTACTTACTTTGTAGCAGCAAAACTTCTGTAACTTGGTTTTTTCCCTGGAGGTATGGGTAACTGGTATTTACAATTCAATGTATCTGATTCCCATGCAAATATTGTGTCATCTTTAAATGCAGTGATGATTGTGTTACTAAGTGGCAAGAAAGAAACCTGAAATTACAATTTACAAAAACTTTGCCTGTATGTAATTCTAACAGTAAAAAAGTAACCATTTTCATGACAGAAACACTATTTTTGTCAAACATAAGTCAAAACTTTAAGTTAAGTTTTTTTCTAAAATTCATTGGTATGCATGATTGTTTTGTTTATAATGTTTTGTTTTTTTTTTTAAATTAGAAGATAAACTAATCAGTAGACTCAACAAAATCAGATATCAGCTTAATGAATATATAAGCTATTGTAAGATCATTTCAAAACACCAAGTTTAATGTAATGACAGGAAGGAAAAATATGAAATAAAGGCTACATTCTAAGTTTACCAACATTGGAATTTTCCTCTTTTTTTTATTGCTTCAAAATTAATGGAGAAACCTTTTTAAATATACCTGAACAATGCCAACATCTTCTTTGATATTAAGTTTTCTTTTCCTCTGGAAAGTATCAAGATCCCACAGCTGAGCAGCATCTGTAGATGTTGTCAATGCATACCTTCCTGAGGCATGCACTGATATATTCCCTATCACAGATTCATGTCCTTTCATCCAAGCAACCATCTCTTTTGTATCTTAAATATATGAAATAATTGTAATATAATTTTTCAAGATTTTATTTTTTCAAGCTCAAGCATAAAAAATAATGTACCAGTACTGCAATTCTGGATTTACTTTCAGAGTAATGTATTGGAAGATTTGCATGAGATGCACTAGGTTGAGATGCTTTTGAATGTGTTCACATTTTGTCATGGTGGGATCTTTTTATAGCTAACTTTAGGGTATGGGATTTGCTCATTTATGATGGCCATATGGTGACCTATAGCTGCTTAGAAAAACGTCATTTGGACTCTAGTGGATAGTTGTTTCATTGACAATCATACCACATCTACTTATTTTCATATACTTCATAGTTTATTTCTCAGGTATTTTCATTTATCAATTCAATCTATAAATTTAACAAGTTGAAGTTAGAAATAATTTGGACATATAAAAAAAAATAAACTTTTTTTTCCTGTCTGCTAATAGCTTGTTATTTTGACAGATTTCGTAATTATTGAGTTGATTGATTGGTGTTTAACGCCACTCTAGCACTATTGTGATCAGTTCTGATTGGTGGAGGAAGCCTGAGTGTCCAAAGAGAAGAATGACCTTTGGTAGGAAAACTGACAAACCTAGTCAATTAAGATTGGAGTCGAGTGCATCTGCAAGTGCGGGACTTGAAATCACAACCTCAGTATTGACAGGCTAGTGATACAGTAGTTCGACTACTTAGACCACTCGGCCACTGAGACCGTTGGAAGTTAAACAATGATATCTATATGTTGGTGGTTGAAAACCTAACTGTATAAAAAACTTCATTGAAATGAGAAAGTTAACTGATCAATTTTTTCACATACTGGTAAAGTATGAAGGTAAGAAGCCATTAAAACAAATGTTAGAACATGGAGCCTTAAATATCTGCTGTGGTAGCACACTAACAGCAGTCTGTGAAAAAACGATAAAGGACAGTCAATTCAGTTGTCTCTTTTTGACTGATTGTCTGAGGTTGTACCAGTCAATCCATGTATATCAGATGGACAAATAACAATGGCTATACAGACTTCGACTTACCAACATCATAGCATTTCAATGAGTAATCTGATAGTCCAATCAAAAACTCAGATTTCCTTCTCAGGTCAAAGGCCAATGCTGTACATGGATGGCCTAGCTTTTGAACCAAGGAAAACCTGAAAGTTTAATATTAAATATTGAAATTATAATAAATTAAGACTTGTATCATATTCTGGTGTTCAGACACAATCCAATTTAACACTTCAGTATAGTTGTCATAGTAAATCAGTATATCAATTAAATCTTTATTTGTAATTCCATTGTTTAAATAGGCATTGGTTTAATGACAAAAATGAGTCCTATTCCAAGTAAATAACTTTGTTCTTGGCCAAAATGTTTCAAACCAGATGTATTAATTGATCTATAACCTAGAGGCTTTAGAGCCTGTGTCGCTCACCTAAATGTATCGTATGTGCATATTCAACAATGGGCTCTCTCCAACATTGAACTAAGAATATAGCTCAAGAAAAAAATCTCTTTTTTGTTGATCTTGTATTGCTGATTATTTTTTTCTTCATAGTTTCTCTCTATCTTCTTTAGTTTTTGCTCAAAACACAAAAGAAGGTAAAACTAGATATGGACAATGCTCTGCCATATGCATGAGTATAGTTCCATATATTTTAGATTTGACAAACAGTGATGTTGGCATACAACTTGAAATTGTTACGCTGTCTGTAAGACACAAATGATGCCCCCGCCTGACCATAGGGAATTATAAATTTAACACTATGTATGATGATGTAACTGTAGGAGGAGATAGCCGGACAAACCATGATCTCTGCAGCTAGTACCAAAAAAAATGACTAAGTCCAACTACCTGTCATTTTCAGAATATTTGAAAAAAAAAATCAAAATCCTGTGGTCATGCACACCTCCATTATGTGTTTAAACATCCTACAAAATATTAAAGCTGTATCTCCAAAACTGTAGGAGGAGATAGCCGGACAAACCATGATCTCTTTATGCAGCTAGTACCAAAATAATGACTACGTCAAACTACCTGTCATTTTCAGAAAATTTAAAAGAAATCAAAATCCTGTGGCCAAGTACACCTCCATTATGTGTATGAACATCCTACAAAATACTAAAGCTGTATCTTCAAATCTGTAGGAGGAGATAGCCAGACAAACAATGATCTCTTTATGCAGCTAGTACCAAAAAAATGACTAAGTCCAACTACCCGTCATTTTCAGAATATTTGAAAAAAATCAAAATCTTGTAACCATGCACACCTTCATTATATGTATGAACATCCTACAAAATATTAAAGTTGTACCTCCAAACAATGATCTCTTTATGCAGCTAGTACCAAAAAAACTACCTGTCATTTTCAGAATATTTAAAAAAAATCAAAATCCTGTGGCCATGCACACCTTCATTATGTGTATGAAGATCCTACAAAATATTATAGTTAAACCTCCAAAACTGTAGGAGGAGATAGCCGGATAAACAATGTATCCTAATCCGGACAGACAGACGGACGAACGGACAGACAGGGGTAAATTAATATGCCCCCCGACATTTTGTCGTGGGGGCATAAAAATCCTCATTTAAGGGCAATCACTCCTATGATGAGTGACAGTCTACTAACTATATCTACATAATTTGACTTGTTTGTGGATCTTGCCTTGCTCATCATTTTTGTTATTAAAAGTTTCTATTTATTTATTATAATTTTCATCATATAAGGCAAAACACAAAAAAATTGGTAAAAATCCTCATTTAAGGTCAATTACTTCAATAAGGAGTCCTTGGAAATAAAGTTTCTATCTATCTATAATGTTTTTTAAGATATAAGGGAAAAATGCAAAAAATTGGTTAAAAATCGATATCAAAGGGCAATAACTCTATTTATAACAGTTTTCAAAATAATAGACAAAACTTGCATTTTACTCCATGTTCTATTTTTATCCATGTCAGCCATCTTGGTTGGCAGGAGGGGTCACCGGACACATTTTTTTAAACTAGATACCCCAATGATGATTATGACCAAGTTTGGTTGAATTTGGTCCTGTAGTTTCAGAGGAGAAGATTTTTGTAAAAGATAATGGACGACGACGATGATGATAGACGACAGACGCCAAGTGATGAGAAAAGCTCACTCCGACCCAAAGGGGCCAGGTGAGCTAAAAAGGTACAATATCAGATCTACAAATACGTTAGGCATATCTTTTTTTCAGTAATTATAATTTGTAGTCACATCAAAATTTTTTCAGGAATTATACCTTTTACTTACATTTTTTTGTTTAGTCAAGTTTTGTTTCTGTTTATTTTATGCATGCCTATATGTGTAGGTGTAAAAAAAACTCACAAGACCATCCTGTTGTGTATTACATTTTCAAAAGTAAAATAATTAAATACAACAATATTTCTAAAAATATTATTGATCAATGAGTTGCCTTCGTAAATGAACAAACCAAGAAGTAAACTATCTTTATGCTCCTGCACACTTGCCAGAAGTTTCAAACACACGAAAATATCTACTGCTACATTTAGCAATGTTAATTTCTGCAAATTTTCTTCATGAAAATGTCCAACAAGACAATTACCTAATATGTTTTAAATTTGCTTTTACCTGTTTTTAGTAATATCAAACATGAATACATGTCCCTGATGGTCCCCTGCGACAAAACTGTCACCATTACTGTCAAATGCAGTGTGAAGAAATCGGACATTTTTACCAACATGTGATAATGTACTTGGCTGACTGTTTGTGATCTGTATCATTAAACTGAAAAAGAATACATGTGAAATTATTAAATAATTAGAGCAAAATGAATATCAAAATTAAACAAATTTAATTTCCGACAGACAATTAAATTTCTACTAAATATACATAGAAATATAACTTTATATAATGTGATAAATGCCAGAGTACATGTTTATAACTTAAAAAATATTAATTAAACTGACCAAATTAATGTGAAAATTGGAACATTTTCATTTTATAAAATAAAACATAACATTTTTACTATTAATACATTTTATTGATGTTCAAACTTTTTTTCCAGCAAGAAAGTATTGAATTTGATTTATCTTCAAAAATTTTACATTATCGAATGTGATAGTGAAATTGATGATTCCTTGATTTAATACCAACATCATACCCATTATCATGTGATGGTGTTGGTTTTCTGTGCCATACTTTACCAGATGTCTTTTTACAAACATCAAGGGACTGCATCTTATGTGGAACCTTGAGTCTGAAAAATATAAATATTTATGAAACTGCAACAATTTTCAACATATACACTTTTAAAAACCTTGTGCATCTACATGCATTACTTGATTTTCAGCTAGGAATCTTCATAAAATATGCAAAGAAATAAAATTTGATTAAAAATAAATGCTGTCTATAAGTTTTTAAACTGAATCTCCCACAAACGCCATGGAAGATATATGTCACATGTTGCAGCTGTTTAATAATTTGGTATAAATGTCCAACTGTGAATAAATGAAGTTTAATTTTTACTTAAAGAGTATATCACATCTTAATTTTTTCCTTAATGTTGTTTGTAAAGCCTGTAAAATTAGATCAGATCCATGTAAACTCATTGATGCTTTGAATAAACTTACTTGTAATGGGTATCAATTAAGTTAACACAATAGTAAGATCTTAGAATATTGTTTTTATCCATACAAACAATGATTTTGCTTTTGATAAATAAACATGACTAAATATATCTTGCTTTTCATTTATGAAAACTTATGATTACTATTGAAGCTGATATTACAGTAACAAAGATATATACAAACATCAGCAAGATCATTTGATTTATAGAAATGGTAGCAACATTTTAGATGTTTATTTATCAAAATATTTAAATTTTCATGAATAAAAATTCGGCAAAATATATTTACAAAGCAAAATTTGGTATTATTGTTCTTTGTTTGAAAATCGTGATAGTTTTTATAACTAGCTTTGATGTAAATACTGCATGTAGTAATAGCTAAGTATGAGTAAACTCAATGAGATTTGGTATCTTCTGCCTTTTTTTATAAGTCTTAAATGAAAAACTTTTCCTTGATCATCAAGACAATTTTTTATTCATGATTCATTTCGTCAAATATTTGATAAAACACTAAGGGAAACCTGTTTACATTTTAGAATGTCACTTTATTTTGAAACAATTAAAAAACACTTATTTATAGCAATACACCAACTTAAAAACCATTAAAAATCCAAAGGATTTGTAAAGTGTACACTATACAAATCTTTGACAAAACCAATAACAAAGAGTGTGAACCTGAATCAGTGAATGGGAGCAAGTGACTGCGGACACAGGGTTAGTTTATCGTACTTATCTTCCAAATGATATAGAAAGTAACAGGAATTTCATTCCAAAAATAGAAGAGACTTATTTTTTTAAAACCCAATTGAGCTTATACGGCCACATCTGACTATATTAGAACGTCAGATAAACAGAGCTTCTTCCATATACAGTACAAATTTCGCGAAAGGCTTCCCAAACTCCGAACACCAAGTTTTTTCTTGGTGTGACACCAGGAAACTCCGACATCCCTCCCTAAATTCTCGGAGAAATTTGGGAGTATTCCCTCCGACTTCCGCGTAGATTCGCTACCTTTTGTTTATTGTATTAGCGACATCTCTCCCAGTCCGGTGTGACGCGGTGTCACACCAGGTAATTAATTGCCCTAATCCTTCTGATCTATACCGTCACGCGACAGTCAAGGTATGTGAGATTACTTATGTAATTAAACAATTGTATTTCCTGTCTATTGATAATCAGGTTATATTTCTGATTGCTTGAAACAAATAAAAGATTTAAAAGCAAAACGTTGTTGTTAATTCTTTCAATTACACTGTACATTTAAAAATAGTTTTATTAAAAAAAAACTATATTTGATTTTTACCTCGTTTTTTTTCTGGTCAGTAAATTAATATTTAATTTACAAAAGAGACATACTTGTGTAAAAATAAACGGAGACTTACGCTGAATAAAAGTGGGCAGTTTAAAGGAAAATTACATGTCTCAAAGTTTTGTATACAAGTAAAAAAGAAAATATTATTCACTATTCGTTATGCTAATAAGTCCACGCCATTTTCATTTTACGATTACATAATTGCTTGAAACAAATTAAAGATTTAAAAGCAGAATGTCACACGAATGTTGTTGTTAATTCTTTCAATTGCATTAAAGTTTTATAACAAAAACTATACTTGATTTTGACCTTGTTTAAGTTCATCGGTAAATTATTTTATTTACGAAAAGAGACATACTTGCGTAAAAATAAACGGAAACTAACGCTGAATATAAAAGTGAGCAGTTTAAAGAAAATTACGTGTCTCAAAATTTGTATATGCAAGTAAAAAAGAAAATACTATTCACCATTCGTTATGCTTAATAAGTCTACGGCATTTTCTCTTTACGATTTGTTCGCATTACTTTAGGATAAATAATTACATTTCGGCTACAACAGGAATACTTCTATAGCTGCATCAACTCGTCGTTGCATAATATTCATTTACGCACAATGAATGTAAACTTGTGTGTTGTATAAAGGACAGTGATTTTAATTTTTTTTAAAAAGAAACTAATTGCCGTGGGAATACGATACACATCTCAGTGATCAACAGTCCGTGGTTGAACTTTGAACTTGACTTCGCTCACAATATTGAATGCTAAAAATAGTGACATCAATTTTGTTCACGAGATTTTTATTTGGCGGGAAATATTATCACGTAACAGTAAACTCAGGTGACCTTTCTGGATGACCGTGGGAAAATTCATTCGGGGTTTAAATTTGCTTTGGAATGATTGACATTTGTATGCCTTCAGATTGAGACTCTAGAAGGTCCTTTTACAATTGATTAACCGGAATCTAAAATATAATCCTTTTCTGAATAAACGAACACCAGCCTTCTCAGTCAACACAGGACATAAACCTGGACATTATTTATACGTCCATGGTCAACAATATACATAAATGGTAGATGAAAACAGGATGCATGTCGTTCAGTTCCTGTTGGGCGTTGATAGAGATCCTATTTGAAAATGTGTAGATCGTAAAAATCCGATCCACATTTTTTTCACATATTTCTTTCTTGTAGAACACGATATACAAATACATCATTTTGTTTTAAGCCAGTTGATATTTATATATTGAACAATTAATGAACCGGATATTGCTCACTGAGTAGGTCATAAAAGATTCTAATTGTAGTAAAATCGTCTTTGTTGAAAAAACAAAAATTATGACCTGACCGGACTATAATAAAAATACAAAATAAGTGTTTTATTCGTATTTTTATACGTTTGTACGTTTTATTTCAAATGACAATGACATGGGGCAAATACATACAAGAATAATTATCTTATTTTGAAAGAAAATGTCACATTTTTATCTGTCAAAGAAAGGAAATTTTAATACCGTGTTTTAAAGCACACAGGTGCAATCAAGATCGATTAAATGTACAAAGGTAATAAATCTGGCTAATCCGATTATGTTGTCACGCGTCATTTATTTTCAGTTCATCCGATGGGCAATAAACCAATTAACAGCCACGCGGTGTTGGGAGAGAATCTTTGGAGGAAATTGGGAGTATAATCCGTGATTCGCGGTGTGACACCGCTACACTCCGAAATCCGTGATTAGAGTTCGCGATTACAAACTCTCTGTGCGTACTGTACTGCCCACATTCAACATGATGAATATTCTGGCATTGTCTAAAACAGTCAAACAGTTTAATACCTGTATCTTTAAATCTGAAGGGACTTGTCAGGATGAAAATACTATGCTATTGGTATAATAACTGATCCTGTAAAATACTCTAATTATTATGCTATTGGTATAATTGATACAAATATCAGCAAGATCATTTGATTTATAGAAATGGTAGCAACATTTTATATGTTTATTTATCAAAATATCAGGATCCTCACGGTTCATCTTCACCAGACTCATATATTGAATTGTTATCTCTATTATTTCTGTTGCTGCTTCCGGTTATTTCAGGTAAATTGGTATCATTTGGTTTACAGGATCAGTTATTAATTATTTTTAGTCTTAATTTTTCAGTTATCATACCAATAGCATAGTATTTTTCATTTGATATTGCATATTTCATACCCTGTAAATTTTGAGTTTGCTTCCCTGACTTATTTGCATTTGAGCTTCATTTAAGTGTGGTCGGTATTGCTCTTCTTATAGTCAGTAATGTTTACAATTTTCGGGACCAAACATGTTTTGATTTGTCGCGCTTTGATAAAATTATAGATTTTTTAAGTCCATAAAAAATACGAACTCTGAGGTAAATTAAATTCATCATTGTAGTGATAATGGAATCTCAACTATCCTTAAATATATATTTATTGAAAGCTCTGTCTTTGAAAGGTCTTAAAGATTTATTTTAATCTTTTAAAATAGCAAATGTATGTCTTTCTCAAAGTTAATTCGTTTTATAAAATAGTATATGCAAAATTTATCCTTTTGTAAACTTTTGGGTTTAAGAGATTTCATCAAAGAAAAATCCAGAGCAAACCGATTTATGTTTACTTCCGGTGATAATCAACTTTTTGTGCAAAAGCCACGTCAGATTTACACGGTATAAACATCAGTAGATTTGTGTCTTAATGACAATTGATGATTTGATATACTGAAATTTCATTCAAGAAACGAGATGTCATCGAATGATATCGGGGATTGGTACCGCAGTATTCCGAAAATAACGAAATGGTGGTTTACAGGATCAGTTATTATACCAATAGCAGCGAAGTTGGGACTTTTGAATCCTATGTGGTTGTTTCTACATTATGAATCCTTAATTTACAAATTTCAGGTACATTTAATTATTAATACTTACATTTGACATGTGCATTATATCCCATTATAGCTAGCCCATACAGTTATAACTAAGGCCTCAGGCTCAGTGCTGTGGCTGAGTTCAAGTACTAGTAGTGCCTAGTGGTCTTGAGTAGTTCAACTACATGTACTGTTTCACTAGTCTGTCAAGAATGAGGTTGTGAGTTTTAATCCTGCAGGTAACAGGTTGGAGCCAACCCACCAAATGGGGAACTAATTAACTATTCCTCAAATGAGTAACAATCCCTCATTTGACTGAAAAAACTTAAGCTGCCAACATTGTCATATAGAAGGGTCCGAGGGGACATGATTGAGACATATAAGATACTTAACGGAAAATATGATCCAGAAACTAGTACATTTCTCAAATTAATTTCAAACACCGAAAATAGGCATAGCACAAGAGTTAATAGCAACAAAATTATTCACCAAAGATTTAAAACAAGTCTGAGGAAAAACAGCTTTGCAGTAAGAATTGCCAAATTATGGAACAAGTTACCAGATAAAGTAACAAAAGCACCATCTATAAATGCATTTAAAAATAGATTAGATAATTACTGGAAATGCGAAGAAATCTATTATTCTGATTATCGACCTGAAATAACCGGAAGCAGCAACAGAAATAATAGAGATAACAATTCAATATATGAGTCTGGTGAAGATGAACCGTGAGGATCCTGTACCTGAAAACATCATTAAGTATCATTAAGTAAGTAAGTATTTGAGTAATCATTTGATACAAAGGTATATAGTGTTAAAAAGGAAATTTTCTTAACTGGGTCTTTTTGCTAAAATGGCACAAATTCATAGAAAATGGAACCACTAGTACTCCTTCCAAATAACCAATTTTTTTATTTTGAGTTTTTCAAAAGTTAGTAGCCTTGAAAATAGTCAATTTTTCGAAGTTTTCATAGGATTGTAACTTCTTAGTATATCAGGTTAGGGCTATTCATCTTTTGGAAAATTTGCTGCATTTTTTATGAATATATGCCATTTTAAGTTAAAAGACTCAGTAAAGAGAATTTAGATTTTTGCACTATGAAATGATTACTCAAATGAGGCATTGTTACTCATTTGGGGGAATAGTTCCCCATTTGGTGGGTTGTACCCAACCTGGCCAGTGGGTAACATGTGGCTTCGACTCCAATCTTAATTGAGTAGGATTGTCAGTTTTCCTATTGTAGGTTGTGGTTCTCTCCCTGGACCTGGTCTTTCCCCACCAATAAAAACTGACCACCATGAAATAACCAATAGTGCTTATAGGGGTGTTTAACACCAATCAATCAGTTAAAGCTAAGGATGTCAGTAAAAGGGGAATAATTGTATTTTAAATTTTTTTGTTACCAGCGACAGACAAATTACAGATTGTCGTGATTTCTCAGCACAAGTTGGTTTATCAATGTATTTGATTATGAATACACAGCTGTGACAAGGACTAATTATAAAATGGAAAAAGTAATGTTTAAAGTCAATGAAAATGTAGTCATTCATATCATTGAGTTAAGCTTTGCCTTTAAAATTCATCTTTTAAGTTAGCATATGCATGCATTTACTAGAGACTTTAAAAAAATCTTGAATTTTTTACACACACAGTAATTTGGCGTAGCTTAAATGTTTATGGAAAATGTTTTGAAAATATGGGAATTTTCTTGAATTTTTCCATTTTGTGCATTCCTGTGTGACAATTTTAATCTTTTAAAACCAACTTCTTTCCTATGTCTATAAGAAGAGTTTCCTCCAGTACACCATGGATTTGACTATTACAGGACTTAAAATTAATTGGGAGTAAATTTCAGGAGTGTCATACTCTCAGTCTCTCCCATAAACAGTTTGACATGTTTGAGTGATGGTCAAAATTTTTTTTTAGCATTAATTAAAAGATTCTGATTTACAACAAACTGAATTTGTTACCTCATCCTAAAAAATGGTCAAAAATGGATGTGTTTACATCTAAAATTTTACTCTGAGTACAGACAACCTCATGCAGTTGGAGATGGATGGAAACTAAAAATCACATTTATGTAATTATTTTGGTTTCATATTACTTTTTGTGATATACTTTCTCAATAATGGTTTTTTGTCTCGCCTTGACAGAGTAAAAAAGCGAGACATAGGTATGCTGTTTCCGGCATCGACAGCGGCGGCGTCAACAATGTATTGGTTTGTGATTAGGTCTAGTTCATGGTGAACCACTAGTGGTAGGTCAATGATATTTGGTATGCAGTTGTATTAACATTGGCACATCTCATTACCATGGAGATTATTTGGCCCCGCTCCCTCAGTCAAGGTCTATTGACTTTGAAACTTTGCTTAGTTTACATGTATTAGTTTGTGATAAGGTCAGTTTATGGGGAACCACTAGTGGTAGGTCAATGATATTTGGTATGCAGTTGTATAAGCATTGGCATATCTCATTTCCATGGAGATTATTTGGCCCCGCCCCCTCATTCATGGTCTATTGACTTTGAAACTTTTGCTTAGTTTTCATGTATTAGTTTGTGATTAGGTCTTGGCATTTGCAAGTTTCATTTCCATGGAGATTATATAACCCCAACCCCTAATTATGGTTCATTGACTTTGAAACTTTTACATGCCGGTAGGTTACAAGTTAATGTTTGTGTTTAGGTTTGTTTAAAGGGAACAACTTATGAAAAGTCAATGGTATTTGGTTTGCAGTTGTATAAGCATTGGCACATCTCATTTCCATGGATATTGTTTAGACCTGTACCTTCAGTCATGGTTCATTGACTTTGAATGTTTGCATAACTTGCATGTTAAAGTATTGCTATTTTAATTTCAACATCTCTGTGTTAACAGTTTATTTATTAGAAACTTTGAATCTGAATAAATATTGTTCTAATTTGTATCTTTTTTTATATATATCTATTTCAGTTTTGGAGGCCGCTGACAGCTGTACTATTTTATCCAACAGGATTCCCATATTTGATAAACCTTTATTTCTTATATTCATATTCTACCAGAATAGAGACAGGTATGTAAACTATTTATATAAAAAATATCTAGTATATTAAGTACATGCTCATGTTACAAACAATTTATCTGCACTATTGATATGTTCTTTCTTGAATTCATTTATGATTGTCATGTTGTGGTTCATGTATTTATAATATGCTTATGGATTTAACATTTAAAAGGCACACAACTATCTTACTTACACACTAGTTTATAAACACCAAGGAACACAACAACACACAAGTGATAAAGTTGACATCCAGATTTCACCTCATACTGTTTTTGTACATTACTGCATAAACAGAATTTGAACTTATATAAATTTGTGTTGGTTTTTGGTTCTTACATGTATTTTCTAAAGAATGCCATGACATACATTTTATCAGAATTTTAATTCTTGAATTGCAAGATTTGTTTCTCTTTTGAGAAGATTTATTCTAGGGAAATCAAATTTATTTGTTAGATGAAGAGCTCTTCTACATGTAAAAAGGCATGTTCATTAAAAGTTTTGTTTGTTATAATTAACTTTGCAAGAATGCATGAATTTTTCAAGTACTGAAATAAAAATTGACACACTGATTAATCATTATAACTATACAAAACATGCTTATGTCATTGTTATATCATATACATGTACATGTACACGTATATTCATAATTGTGTGCAAATGTCAATTTCATTTCTAATGAGGTCTGCAATAAATAAGGAGCATGTTTTGTTGAAGAGCTCTTAACAATCATTTTATTATCAAAATTTGAAATATAAATGTATTGGGATGTATAATGAATTATAAAACAAATAAATTACTGCAAGTTCCAGCAGATTTGTGGTATGAAAATATTGAGAAAAAATTAATGGTTGAAATTGTCATTCAAGCTGTGTACTATACATGTTCACATCTAATAAAAAGGAAATAACTTGCCTCTGATTGAATGAAGTGTATTTGGTTTATGACTGCTACATGTATATATGTCTAGGAGCCCAATTCCCTTTCTTCATCAAGTTGTTTAATATCAGAAATCAAATTCTGATGAAACAGCAAAATTTTTGTGGGGAAAATCTTTAGACTTGCAAGATATACAGATAAACATTTGTATTCAGTATTTTTACAAGATTAAGAGATGAAAACAAGGAAGGACATGGATTGACTGCTAACTGTGGACAAGTTCAAGAACAAAATTAACATGTGTTGTAGTGTACATTGCTTTAGTTTCTTCATGATTATAGTTTTTCATGTTTTTCAGGTATATATGATGGCAAGCCAGCAGAATATGCCTTTATGTGGCTCTTTAACTGGTTAGCACTTGTTGTATCCTTTTAAACAAATGTGGATGAATGAAAACAAATTTGGGATAAATATCAATTAGACAGCAGCCTGACAACATCATTTTACCACAGATATATATCTTAAATTTCACTAGAAAGTCATGGGAAAGTGCCCAAATTTAATAGCAAACCCTTGGCACCAAATTTCTTGAATTAAAAAAAAAAATCCACAATTGCTGACAAGATTCTGGACCTTAAAAAGACTCTAAATCAGAGTTGTCATAAAGACCATATTAAATGCACCATGGTACCACATAGTTATATTTGTATGGCCCTGCCCTTGGCAATGGGGGCATTAAACGTTATCCTTGATTGTCCTTACGTGTTTCTGTCCATCCCATGTTCGTTTCCACACTCTAACTTTAGTTTTCCTCATCCAAATTTTATGAAACTCTTACATAATGCTAGGAACCTCAACATGCAGAGAGAGTTTTAATTTTGGCAGTATGTCATTAACTGTCTAGAGTTATGCCCCTTAGTAATTTGGAAATTTTTGCACTCCCAAGTTTGTCTCATCAAAATTTTATAAAACTCATATGCTATGCTTACATGCAGACAGAGTTCGAAATTTGGGCATTGAGTCACTTACTGTTCTAGAGTTATGCCCCTTTTTAAATTGGAAAATTGCAAAGTCCGAGTGGGGGCATTCGTTTCCTCAGACACATTCTTCTTTTATTTACCAATGTGTTATTGGTGACAATGGAGTTATCTGTAGAAATCTATAAATAAGAAGATTTAGAAAAAAAATCAACATTTGGTAACAGTAGTGGATAATTTTTTTATTTATTATGGGGGATTAACATCAGAGATATTGATTGATTTTTGATGATCGAATGACATGAAGTGTTTTTTTAATTTTTTGTGGATTTACTTCAGAGTTTTGCCTTAACTGATGAAAACAGATAATTGGATTGGTAGCTGAAATATATGTAAGTAAAATGTAGTAGTATAGAAAATAAGATCAGCATACAGTTTTGTCCAAAAACATGAAAATATACTCATATTGATTATCTCTTAATTAATAATCTCCCTATATAATTTCAAGGTTTTTAAAGGTTGAATAAATGAAATTCTTGTTAATTCTTGGATTTGTATGCTGATTTCATAGAAAAAAAGAAATACAAATTTATATAAATTTAAATTGTTTTGAGAAAATGTTGAAACAATGAAATGAGGGACTCTTGAAGTAGTAATATTTTCTCCCACAATAAAAATTGATACCTATGAAAATGAAAGAATTAATGGAGTACACTATAATACATACATGTACATTATAATCACACTTTTATTTACTCTTTATAGTTACTGATGGATCCTATGGTGTTGAGTGTTTTATATGTGTGGTGTCAGTTAAATAAAGATCAGATCGTACAGTTCTGGTTTGGAACACAGTTTAAGGTGGGTACATGTAGTTAATAAAATTGAGAATGGAAATGGGGAATGTGTCAAAGAGACAACAACCAGACCATAGAACAGACAACAGCAGAAGGTCACCAACAGGTCTTCAATGCAGCGAGAAATTCCCGCACCCGGAGGCGTCCTTCAGCTGGCCCCCAAACAAATATATATACTAGTTCAGTGATAATGAACGCCATACTAAACTCCAAATTGTACACAAGAAACTAAAATTAAAAATAATACAAGACTGACAAAGGCTAGAGGCTCCTGACTTGGGACAGGTGCAAAAATGCGGCGGGGTTAAACATGTTTATGAGATCTCAACTCCCCCCTATACCTCTAGCCAATGTAGAAAAGTAAACGCATAACAATACGCACATTAAAATTCAGTTCAAGAGAAGTCCGAGTCTGATGTCAGAAGATTTAACCAAAGAAAATAAACAAAATGACAATAATACATAAATAACAACAGACTACTAGCAGTTAACTGACATGCCAGCTCCAGACTTCAATTAAACTGATTGAAAGATTATGTCTTCATCATATGAATATCAGGCACAATCCTTCCCGTTAGGGGTTTAGTATCATACCATCATAACATATATGAGAAGAACATAACCCGTGTCATGCCAACAACTGGTTTTTAAATAAATGTGTTTAGTGCCGATGCAAAGACCCTATAAGTGAATCAATATTAACGCCAAAATATGCAATCTTTAATGACCTGACAACAGTATTGTAACTATATCCCTTCTTAATAAGTCTATTTAAAGGTTTTGTTAGCTTCAGAGGTGAATACTGACATTTTTGTGCTTTATAAAAAATATTTCCATAAAAAATTGGATGTGAAATACCTGAACGTATAAGAAGTCTGCATGTTGAGCTATATTTACGAATGATGTCCTTATACCGATGATAAAATTAGAATATTACACATATATGTGATCAGACCTATTGTTATGGTCATATCCTTCACAAAAGTATGTTAACAAAAAAGGGCCAAGTGAGCTTTTCTCGTTGTCGTCCATTAACTTTTACAAAAATCTTCTCCTCTGAAACTACTAGACCAAATGTAACCAAACTTGGCCACAATCATCATTGGGGTATCTAGCTTAAAAAATGTGTCCAATGACCCAACCTGCCAACCAAGATGGCTGACATGGCTAAAAATAGAACATAGGGGTAAAATGCAAGTTTTGTCTATTATTTTGAAAACAACTATAAACATGATAAATAGAGAAAATCTGATTAGGACGAAAATGTTCAGAATGCTGAGCTCTACCAATTGTTCATTGACGTCAAAACTGATTTAGTAACTTGTATGCCAATGTTCATGATGTTACAAAAATAATATTGTGTAAAATATGTATAAACTGTATGTAAATTTCCTTACCCCTTCTTAGTGGCTTTAAAATATGAATAATGACATTAACAGATTTGTGCAGTATATTTTCTTTATAACTGTCATATTGTAATGTTTATGTTATTTATTTTCACAATAATTACATAAGATGTATGTTTCATTAAAATACGTTATTCTGATTGGCTTACAGCAATCTCACGTCATTCTGAAATCAAACTTCATTTCAAACTAAATTGTAACTTGCATGATGACACGAGCTTCTACAATAAAGTGCACAGGTAAATAAAAGAAAAATTTGATAGTAATCGTATTTTCGTGATCATAGAGAAAAAATGTAAGTATAAGTATTGAATGCTTCTTTTAGTAATTTTATAGGGGTGTAAAAGCGTTGACCGTGCACACATTTTTAGTATGAAGCGCTTCCACGCTTCATACAAATTTACTTCAGTCAACGCTTTTACACCCCTATGAATTTACAAAAAGAAGCATTCAATTCTTAAATAAAATATTGTTTACACTATCTGTTATTCTGTAAATCAGTTTGTTTTCAACTAGATCATATGTAGATAAGACTTTCATTTCTTCTCTTATTTTTTGGCCATATATATAAGGTATCAAAAATAGCTTTTCTTTATTATGATAATTTTCTGGAGGATTTTTACATGTTCAGTATCTATTAATTGTGCATTGTCAGAATATTGACATTGTAAATCATTGTTTTTTTAGGTTTCCCATATGTGAAATAACAATTCAAGTACCACAATTAACTGTCAATATTTTTGTCATTTTCAGGCCATGTATTTGCCATGGGTTTTATTTGCTTTCAATGCTATTATTGGAAGTGGGTAAGTAGAAACTTTATACTATAAATGTTATTAAAAATTTTGAGCCAATTTTCTATATTGATTTTCACACTGTTTTTACTTTAGGCATTGAATGCAACTCTTTTATCATGTGGTATCTTAAACCTCTTATAAAAAAAACTATGGTGGTATTTCTACACATTGAAAACTGATCCCAAGATATTGAATTGAATAGAACATCTTCACTTTCATTTTCACAAACAATTTAATGCAATGGTATTTTTGTGGAGCAGACATGGATAACATGTATTAGGAGAGGACTTAACATTCAGTTAAAAAAAACTATGTTAAGGTACTCAATCATACAATGAAATTGGTTTCTTGTAATTTCATTCCAATTCATTTCAGTTGCTTATTTTTTTTCTTGATTATTTTATTTTTAATAGGTAAGGGAAATGGGAAAATTCTGATAAAGCAGGCTAAAATACTCTGAAATTAGTGACTGTTTCAGGATGATTTAGTTAATTTTTTTAAATAATGTATGTCTTAACATGATAGTTCATTCATATATGTTTTTTTTCTAGTGGCTTAGCACAGTTACTTGGTATAGTTGTTGGACATTTGTATTTCTTCTTAATGTTTAAATATCCCCAAGATTTTGGAGGAGCTACAATGTTACGAGTACCAGCCATATTGTAAGTTTAATCAGCAGCATGATCAAATTCAGCAATATTAAAGTAAAACTTAGACTGAAATTTCAAAGTGGATGTACAATAAAAAAATCACCAATTGCAATTTCAACAAATATTAATATGAAAATTTGGAGATTGTATAATTGTAAATGAGACAACTATCCACCAGACCAAAAGACATGGATGTAAGTAACTATATGTCACTGAAAGCCAGAAAGGCCTTAAAAAGTTGTTTTAAGCTGTTTGGTTTGTTTTGTGTTTTTAAATAGCTAGTACAACAATAAAAAAATATCACATGCAAGTAAATTGGTCAACAGATAATTGGAGTAACATTAAGTTAATTTATAATGTAACATATGGTATTTATACTTGATAATTGTTGAAAACTGAACAGTGATCTAAAGATGTCTTGTTTGGTTTTATATTGTGATGTATCATATGGTAGCTTTACTTTTTGTCATGTTATAAATGTCTTCTTGTATTCGTATGTAAACTTGAAACAATCAACTTTCACACTATCAGTATGTATAGCTAGTTTCCCATTGACTTAATTTGAGTTAGAGTAATTTCCCTTCATCACCATGTTAGAGGGCATCATGTCAACGTATATTTGTTCCACCTAAGTTAACAGAAGTTCCACTGGAAACTTTGTTATAAACAATGTCATAATATCTGTTCCTGTTGGAACAAATATTCTATACCATTTATTCCGTTAGGAACATTTATTGTAATATTTATATCAGTGGAAATAATATTCCAGAATATTGTTTCCATTTGGAACTTTAATTATGAAGGAACTTCTATTTCGTGACAATCATACACTAATTCTTTCATAAATTAACCAAATTCAACTTGATAAAATGACCACAATTTTTTTTGCAAAATTTTGTTTTTGTACAATTTACATTTGTTTTAAGCAGTCAGTGTATAATTCATTACCACAATCTGATAAGGTTGAGTGTATTACATGTTATAATTTGGTTAGTCAAGTTGAAAAATTAACTAGTTTGCCATCCAACTCAAATTACATCAATGAAAAACTATAAATTCTTTTCCATATTGTTTTGTAGCTACAAATGGTTACCAAACAGAAGAGGTGGAATGTCAGGATTTGGTCAAGCACCAGCCAGCAGACGACAAGATGGCAATGATAATGCTAATGGTGGCCGGCATGCCTGGGGAAGAGGAAATGCTCTTGGGGATTAAGATGATCTGAAATATAGAAAACACCAAAATGCTTGAATATATCTGGTGAAAAGAATTGTGTAAACTTCATGATGTTCACCTAGACCAGTTTCATAAAGGACTGAAATATAGATATTTTTCAAGTGATATTCAATTTAAGTTTGTTGACTTTAAGTTGAATGCATTGTACAATGTACAAATATTGAAATCAAGACTCTTTTATTCCATAAACCATGAAATATTCACAACTTTTCGAGTAGCACTATTTTCAGGGTGAGAGCTGAAACAAATAAAAATAAATTGCCTTGAAATTTGACAGATATTTAACAGTAAATGCCATATGAGCACATTTATCTAAACAGCTGTAAATGCATTTTTAATCTTTTAGAGGGACTATGTTTATTTCCATGAAACCATATCCTATTTTATTGTCTTACACATTAAACCATATGCCTGTTTTTAATTAATGTTTTTGTTTTGTTTTATTTATCCATTAGCCAATGAATGCTAAAAATATCTGTCTATTTTAAAATTGTGGTGTTTCAAGCATCAAATGCTATCAAACATTTAAAAAACCAAAGATAATATTTTAACTCTTTGTAGGTAATAGAATGAATAACGTTCACTTGTTCTTCTCGAAATCATTCTGAACAAGATATTTGTAGAGATTGCAATGTTAAAGTATCTCTCCTTCAGCATACTCACAGAAGAGATAAGTTACTCACTCGACTGTTATCTGAAATTGTTTGACAGCCATTGTTCATGCACTGTTTGCACATTTTCCTGGACTCATTCAATTGTAAAATTCATGTGCCATGATGACACTATTTATTCAATTCAAATATATATTTGGGAAGGAGAATTTGTTTCTGACTAATTTAGCAGTAATCATGTGTTTGTTATTTAAATTTCTTCTTCTTCATGAATGAACCTCCACATAGAAAAACTGTTTCACAAAATCAACTTCCTTTGACATTCAATGTCTTCATAATAGATAATTCTTTTTTGCCATTTTGTCATGTGATAAATCTGTTCACCAGTTTATTTACCAAAAAAAAAAACCCACAATGTACTGGTTCAAGGAAAATACTTTTTTAGTGAGACAATATGTATATTTTTGGAATGATTTTTTTCATCATTCATTTTACATAATTATACTTGTGTATTTGATTAATTACTTGTAAAATAAGCAGAAGAAAAATGATAACTTCGTGTGTTGATTCTGAAAGAGTGCATGCAGTCTACTGTTATTTACTCTTTGAAATTTCTCTCTTAGTCTTAGGACAAGAAAAGATACATTTCTTGATCACTAGTCGTGTGTTGAAATGCAAATAGATTTTACCTTCAACCACATGATACTGGGACCTATGCATGTACATTGTTATTTAATTAATTCACCAACTCGCATAAGAATGTATCTTTTTCTTGTAAGGATATAAATGTGTTATAACAAGAAGCATAGTTCATTCTATCTTAAAGTTGAGATGTGTTTACAATGAATTTGTCCAAATATGATTTTAATGTTAATTTGCATGAAATTATAAACTAGTAAGTAAGAGAATTTTGTATTATAAAATTGCCAATCAAGTCAGAGATCATTTGGCCAGAGTTAAAAACATAATTTCACAACACCCTTCAATTTGTGAGCAATGGTTTATAGACTCATTTTCCCCAGTGTCTCCTACTTGGATTATAGTTGAACCTTTTATATATTTTATTGCAATGTGATGCAGTTGAAAACATATAGAAGAAATACAAGATCATGTCAAACTATTAAAGTAGTAGATCATTTTTATTTTTTCTTGAAAGTAAATATGTATGCTAATAACCATAAAATTTGGAATGTTTTTGTAAACATGATTTGGTCTGCTTATTGCAAAACTACTTATTGAATTTTTTCTTTACTTTTTTATTCTTTTATTCATTCCTTTAACTGAAATAAACACAAAGAAATTACTTGCCATATTCAGCTGTGTGTTATACACACTTATTTTACCCAAGACATATAATTGGTAGAGGGGTGTGTATTATACAGTCTACAGACTCTGAAGGAGTTGTTTTCTTCACTTTTGTATCATTTCAAAGTACAGATGTGAAATCTCATGAGATTTGGTGATAAAAAAGGGATGCAGATAATACACAACCAAATACGGTATATTTATACTATTTGAAACAGCTTCAATTATATCTGTACATACTAGTCCAAGTCATTGAATTCATTCAATTAACAATAAGAATTTTTAGCTGAAATATTTTCAGTGTTTATTACTTCATTAAATCATTATATCATTCCATGCCTATCTTTTCAGTTGTGTGTAACTGCTGTATTGTGTGTATGTCATCAAGTAATATAAATATGTTGAAATTAAATAAATATTGTTTATGAATTGTGTTGTCTTTTTCAAAACATTAGTGATATAAGAGCATGCAATTAAAAAGAAATAATCCAAAATCCGAAAAACCTATTTCACTCTGACAAAAGCACCTGTACTACTGAGAGAGGAATTTCATAGATTCCCTTTTACCCCATATTTTATGGCAGAGGGGGCATTAAGTTTTACCCTTGTCCATCTGTATGTACGTCCATCCTTTTTTCTGTATGTCCCAAAATTAGTTTCCCTTCTCTAACTTTAGTTTTCCTCAACCAAATGTTGTGTAACTTATACACAGTGCTTATTTCCACCAAACACAAATCAAGTTCAAATTGGGTGGCGTCACTTTCACCATTCTTGAGTTATGTCCCTTTATAAATGGAAAAATTTCTAAATTTGCCGTATTCACACTCCAATTTTAGTTTGCCTCAACCAAATGTTATGAAACTTATATACAATGCTTATTACCACCAAACACAGATCAAATTTAAATTTGGGTGGCGTCACTTTCACCGTTCTGGAGTTATGTCCCTTTAAGAATGGAATAAACTGCTATGCAGGGCGCAGCTTGAAACCACTACGAGTTTGGACCCTGAACAGTTGGGGCAAGTATGGACACAACATTCAAGCTTGTTACAGCTTTGAAAAGTGATTGTAATTAAATACTTGACATAGCATAGGTTTCTGATACAGAATGAATGTGGTCTTAAGAACTTTAAAAATTTGTTATTGGATATTTACCTATTAGTTTAAAATCTAAATACATGGCTAGATTCAGCATATCAAAGAACCCAAGCCTAACAAAGTTTAATTTTGTACCCTTTAGACCAAATTGAAAACTGCGCTCAAAATCCAAAATCTTCCTACACAGTTAGAATGAGCATATCAAATAACCCCAAATATTCAATTTTTGTTAAAATCAAACAGCGTTTAATTTTATACCCTGTGGACCCATTTGAAAACCAGGCCCGAAATCAAGAATATAAATACTGGGTTAGATTCGGCATATGAAAGAACCCCATACATTCATTTTTTTTTCAAACAAACAATGTTTAATTTTGGACCCTTTGGATCTTAATGTGGACCAATTTGATAAAAGGGGTCCAAAATTTAAAATCTAATTACAGCTAGATTCGGCATATCAAAGAACCCCAATTATTCAATTTTTGATGAAATCAAACAAAGTTTTAATTTTGGACCCTGTGTACCAATTTAAAATTGAGGCCCAAAATCTGAATACACGGTTAGAATCAGCATATTGAAGAACCCCAAGAAATAGAGACTTTGAATTAAACCCTATTGAAATTTGTCAAGAAATAAGTAATTTATACAAAGTATTAGAAAAGTAGTATTTATGGCCCCCAATCCCTAAAAGGTTAGGGCCATAACCCCCAAAATCAATCCCAACCTTCCTTTTTTTTGGTATGGAACCTTGTGGTACAACTTCATAGAGATCCATGGACTTATACAGTAATAGTTATACTCAAGTTATTGTCTGGAAACCAAATGTTTTCGGACGACGTAAAGGACTAAGAGGAAGATGACAACATTGCCATACCATTATACAGCCTCAAAAATTTTGTGGTTGTGTAAAAATTGCTAAATTTGCAGTTTCCACACTCTGACTTTAGCTTGCCTAAATTACACAATACTTATTACCCAAAACTCAGATCAAGTTTGAATTTGTGTGGCGTCACTTTCTCCGTTCTCAAGTTATGTTCTTTTGTAAATTGAAAAAATTCTGAATTTGCTGTATACAGGATATTTACCAGCAGGGGCATGGGGTCACATTCTGCATTTTTTATCCTCATCTTTGCCACAGTGACATATTGTTGTTCTTGTGTGTTGAAATGTCCATATCTTAATTTATGGGCATAACATAGATAACCTACATGATGACAGCCAACACATTCAATCAGCAGTGATTTTTTCCAAGTTTACATAGCATTTCACTCCAAATAAAATGCCCTGCCGGCACAGATATGACCACAGAGGTGGAACACTGAACAGTTGGGGCAAGTATGGACACTGCATTCAAGCTCGATACAGCACTGAATTTGGATTGTGATTAAATATTTGACACAGCATAGGTTTCTGTTACAGAATGGATGTAGTCAAAGAACAGAAAAATTTGAAATTGGATTTTACCTACTATGATTCCAATATCCAAAATCTAAGTATGCTTTCTTTCGTGACTTGACTTCTTTTCTACAGCAGTAGTTAAAAATAGATATAGCGCCATCATATTCTAATTTTAGAAATTATGTATAAATATAGTTTGAAATTTACTGTTCATTATTAAATATTTTGAAAAATAATTAAGAGGTCAGTTTTATAGATTTTTTAAAGACATTGTATTAATGATGATGATATTTTGGAAAAGAACTTCTTGGTAAGTTTGTTTGTTATTCTGTATAATTTATTTTTTTAGTGAATCAAACCCCTTTAAAAACTTAGCTAATATTGTCCATTACTAAATAAATTAATGAAATTCTTGGTGTACTTGGATATCATGGTTCATTAATAAATAAATAAAATTATTTTTTTAGTGTACTTGGATATAACGAATCTAACTGTATTTACAACCTATTAAACTTTAATTCCACTTCATTGATATTATGAAAAATAATTCTAATAAATCTTCTACATATTTTTATTGTAATTGTCATGCGAAAGGTGATTGGTAGTAATTTTTGAATGCTATAATAAATCAAACCAACAGGCAGGATATTTTCAAGATTTTTTTTTTTCCCCAAATTAGCCCATCAATTTCACACTTTACAGTTCAACATAGATTACAAAGTAACAGTCCTCAGGAAGACGTCACCCTTGCCAGACACATTCGTCAGAGTCAGGGCCATCCAAGCCTTTGCTCTTACTCCTTAATACCTCATTGAGAAGCAGCAAATATCAAATTGAATTTTAATGTCTTTGGTTTGAACTGACTGGAGATCAAACCCACCACTGCCAGAACTCAAGTTGGCAATTAATGAACTTTCAGAGTAAATATATATACGAGAATAAGCTTGTTACAAATGATACAATCTGCCTGTATGACTATCTGTCCAGAGTTGCTTCTTAGGTCTTTGGCAAATGTGCTTCAAGCTTTTGCAATATGATTCATAGTGATATGCAAACATTTGTGGTAGGATTTTTAATAATCTTAATAATTATGTTCCTTTGAATTGATAATTTATTACATGATCCCAATCCATGTTGTCTGTATGTTAACTGTATGATGTACACATTTATGTGTCTGTCACTAGTCAGGAACCTCTAGCCTTTGTTAGTCTTGTGTATTTTTTAATATTGTTTTTGAGTTAAGTGTGGCATCCATTTCACTAAACTAGTCTACATAATGGTTTAGAGGCAAGCTGAAGCCGCCCACATGTGCAGGATTTTCTCATGTTGAAGACCCATTGGTGGCCTTTGGACAGTTTTCTGCTCTTTGGTCAGGTTGTTGTCTCTTCAACACATTCCCTGATTCCATTCTCAATTCTATCATTGAAACCATATGGTACTGTAAATTCAGAAATTATTTCGAGCATTTATTATTGCAACTTTGACATGACCAACCAAACTTTAAGATCAATTATTGCTATTTCAGGAAAAGCTGTTTACCGATATATGTATCAGATACTAGTAGCATAAATAATAAAATGCTTCGCTGGGCGCAGCTTGATACGACCGCAGAGGTCAAACCCTGAACAGTTGGGGCAGGTATGGACACAACATTCAAGTTTGATACATCTCTGAATTTGGATTGTGATTAAATATTTGACACAGCATAGGTTTCTGACACAGAAAGAATGGTCTAAGAACTTCAATTTTTTTAATTTACCTATTATGGTCCAATGTCCAAAATCAAAATACATGGTTAGATTCAGCATATCAAAGAACCCCATATATTCAATTTTTGTTGAAATCAAACAAACTTTAATTTTGGACCCCAATTTGGACCAACTTGAAAACTGGGCCAAAAATCTAAAATCTAAATACATGTTTAGATTCAGCATATCAAAAAACCCCAAAAATTCAATTTTTGTTAAAATCAAACTAAGTTTAATTTTGGACCCTTTGGACCTCAATATGAACCAATTTGATAGCGGGCCCACAAATAAAAAATCTAAATACATGGTAAGATTCAGCATATCAAAGAACCCCATATATTCAATTTTTGTTGAAATCAAACAAACTTTAATTTTGGACCCCAATTTGGACCAACTTGAAAACTGGGCCAAAAATCTAAAATCTAAATACATGTTTAGGTTCAGCATATCAAAGAACCCCATATATTCAATTTTGTTGAAATCAAACAAAGTTTAATTTTGGACCCCAACTTGGACCAACTTGAAAACTGGTCCCATAATAAATAAAATGCTTCGCTGGGCGCAGCTTGATACGACCGCAGAGGTCGAACCCTGAACAGTTGGGGCAAGTATGGACACAACATTCAAGCTTGATACAGCTCTGAATTTGGATTGTGATTAAATATTTGACACAGCATAGGTTTCTGACACAGAAAGAATGTGGTCTAAGAACTTGATTTTTTTTAATTTACCTATTATGGTCCAATGTCCAAAATCAAAATACATGGTTAGATTCAGCATATCAAAGAACCCCATATATTCAATTTTTGTTGAAATCAAACAAAGTTTAATTTTGGACCCCAACTTGGACCAACTTGAAAACTGGGCCCATAATCAAAAATCTAAACACATGTTTAGATTCAGCATATCAAAGAACCCCAAGAATTCATTTTTTGTTAAAATCAAACTAAGTTTAATTTTGGACCCTTTGGACCTTAATGTAGACCAATTTAAAAAACAGGACCCAAAATTAAAAATCTTAAACACGGTTAGATTTGGCATATCAAAGAACCCCAATAATTCAATTTTTGATGAAATCAAACAAAGTTTAATTTTGGAGCCTTTTGACCTCAATATGAACTAATTTGATAGTGGGGCCCACAAATAAAAAATCTAAATACATGGTTAGATTCAGCATATCAAAGA